GACCATCCTAGCGTGCATCACTGTACCTGGTACATGGAAGCTTGTGCACAGAAGTCGATGATCGATTTGATAATCGTATCGTCTGACTCACTATGTTCTTCAATGGATTCTTTTTTAAGAAAAGCACAGAGTTCTCAACTGATCACCACCTTGTTACTGGCACTCTACACTGTGAGGGATGGAGTACCATTTGGTTGTAGCAGCAACCAGAAAATCAAATGGCAAACGTCATCCTCGGCAACACGAGAGCGAACGGTTTGAACAGATCCTGGCGATGACCACTGATGTGGTAACCGAGAGGCAGCTCTTTAAGAGCGGCATACTCGAAGCTGCCACCGAATGCTGCGGATTCCAAAGGATCGGTCTATCGCCTAGAGGTCAGAAAAGATCTTCTTGATGGACATTCGAGGTACAAATGACAGATAAAAGGATGAAGGCTGCATTAAAAGGATGGTTTGGATATAAAGAGCTTACAACTCGAGCCTATTAAGGGAAGCGCGCCATGCGGCAGCGAAAGCTCATTCCTAGGAAAAGTTTTGTGAAGTGCTGGAGTCGAATTTTCAGAGGGCAAACAAAGTTTTCTGACAGGCCAAATGCCGCCTTTCAGATGGAAAGAAGGACAGTCTAACAGTGCTAAAGGACACGCTTGGTACCTCATACGCAGGATGCGGTCAGACTTCGGCAGAGGATGGAGTTCTTTCAATAGCTCCGTAATCTTCCAGCCGCTAGAAGACTCCTCTAAACAGCAGCAGGCAGTAATGGTAATCTCGATAGTTGAGGTTACAGAAGCTGTAGAAAGCTCGAATTGTTGCACAGCTGCTGGAATCGAATGTGTCCTTCCTGAAATCTTGGAGTCTTTAAGAGATAAAGACATGTTGTGACAAACACTTATCTGTCAAATCACGGGGATGATGCGAGTTGAATTGATAACTGGATCTGTTGTAACCATTTTTAATACCGGTGACCATAAGGGGTATTCTAATTCTCAGAAAATTGCCTTTTTAGCCTCCCTGGAAACTTCTACACAAAGGTGTTAGAAAGAAGGTGTTGCGGAATAACTGACTCCAAGATACAAGAAGAGCAGTGTAGCTTCATCTGAGGCCAAAGCACTTCGACCAATTTTCGTTATACGCCTGACTGTTGAGAAATCACTAGAATTCACTCACTCGGTTTATTTGTAAACCTGGAGAAAATCTATTAGCGGATCCCGTGCATCAGCTCAAGTTAACCTCTGAAGTTCAAACGCTGGCAAGGAATCGGCAACGTTGGAGACACTGTCCGAGGCGTCTGCCTCCGCGATGCGAAATTATGAGTGTTGACTGGTTATTATGGACAGTTGACTGACTGGTTGACGGACCGTTGTATCGAATGACAATGCCATTGCGTGCATCAGACAAATTGTTCATCCTTTTTGCTCCAGATGGAATATGCATAGTCTTCTCAGTTGCTGCATTGAGCCATTGATCTCGTAGCAAAGACCATCAATTTAAGTCAACTGGTTCTGCTGAAATGACTTTGAATGTCCTTCTTCCGTGCAGATATTAAACGATACCATGTTATATAATGCTCCATCTACAGATAGTTTCTAACCGCGTATTGATATTTGGAAATTTTTACTCAGCCAGTCAGTCAAATGCCCCTCCACACCGCGGCTTAATGAATGTTGAAAACTTCTGAGAAAGTCAGATGATATGCATGGGAAATCCCCTGTTCCACTTTACGTCCCAATGTTTCGTATCGCTCATAAATCTATAGGGTAATAGTGCTGTATCTGACCAAATGTGGGCTTTACACGTAATTATGTTGATATTGATGGCGCCATCCTTGCCTCATTATTGTTTCTGCATTCCTTGCGATCTCGATTTGTATCCTATTTTATTTAAATTTCATCCTTTGGGTCTACGTCAAATTATTGCGCACGCACACTTCCTATATGCAGTTATTTGGAAATAAGTCAATAAGTTAATTCTACGGTTGTCGGTTCAATTTGTCCACCGTTGCGTCGTGGCAGGGTACGTGCAGAATCACAGAATTATCAATGACCTAAAACAAAACTTTATCACTTTACCTTCTTGGACATGAAAGTCAGGTATCAGTGAATTGGCGAACAAAATATATACGACTGAATGACTAAATTAGTGCACGCTAGGGATACTGGGCTTGGTGATCACTTTTATGTTTTTTTTGATCAGTTGTCTCAAGACTTTTTTGTTAAAAGAAAGTAGTAAGTATATCATATGAAATCTGGCTCTGAACGAATCATGCGTCATTTCACATTTCTTTCTGCGTAGGGACATATTATGATTTTTACGCGACTGCACGTAAGGTTTCAGTTCCTGAAGAATCGTTTGCCATATGCGCGAGGTGGTCGTGTCGAACAAAACGATGTTCATTGCATCTGGCATTGCAGGTGCTGAAACACCCTGAAGCGATGACGTGCATAAACGATACCCACCCCGCGGCCGACTAGGAGAAAAGTGCTATGCATTACGCCATATCGTCAGATAAATTATAGCCATGTAGTATATTGCTTGATAAATTATAGTTTTTGGTGACCGTTCGTGAAGATTCTTTGCATCAGTATAAAAAATAAAATTGTATAAAATGCATATGGAAAATAATGTGTTTGATTTAAAAACATAATCCACTAAGAAAGAATTTTTAGAGATATGGCACATCGCAGACTTTTTACCTTGGAAGCAAGTGATATGATATCTCATGCACCAGTTATGCGGTTGTATTTGCAGGAAGTGAGCGAAGATGTAGCTGAGATGGGATAGCCTGTGATCCCTTTAAATCCAACAGAAGTACTGTAACCATTTTTGGACACTTTTTCACTAGCTATCGGCTAAATTTAAGCCGTTCACTGTTCCTGGTAGCATAATTTGTGCGAAAGCACCGGATGACAATGACGCATTCAGGCACTTAGACCGCTCTCTGAAACGAATAAACGAGCCGTTGTATATTTTGAACGACGGCACATTGCTAAATGACAAATTCCAGCACGATGAGTCAACTAATTTGCCGATGTCTATTGTTTTCGACCACTGATCTTCGCTTTTCTCACTTGTTCGTCGATTTGAACGTTTGACTCAACGCCGTAACTCGTTTACCCTCGCACCGCTTCATCGACTTCTAGCCGGCTGTAATGAAAAGTTTCAAATTTACATCGCTTAATCAAATGCTTATTGCGCTGGTGCTGCTGGTTTTTAACTCATGGCCGGCAATACGGTAGCGGTTTTCTCGGTTATCGAGTTCGTACAGCGCGATAGTCGTCGTTGGACGAGGCCTGCTTGAAGCGACGATAAATCGCTGATCACAGGAGGCGTTTCTTCACCTTGCCCGCGACCTGTCGTGCTTATGCCGCCCATTTGCAAACAGTGAGGAACTGGAGTGACGAGGTGGTGTTCACGCTGAGGACAGAGCAACGAAGCATTTTGTTAAACGGTTAGTTGCTCGTTGGTTGTCACGGAAAAACAGTCTCACATCAATAATGGTTTTCGACAGCACATTACATAATGCCATAAAAAGGAGGTCGAATGGTAGCTTTTCGTGTTTGAGTGTGCGCGCGATTCAAGTAAATAATAACGCGCGTTGTAGCTTCCAGGCGTCAATTAGGCGTTCATTCACGGGTGGTGTGTTTGAGTACCCTCGTTTTCAACGACCTCACCGCAACCACTGTGCCTTGAATTCGTCCTCATGTTCGTCGCGTGTGCCACTTCGCGTATGCGAAAGACGATTTCTACCATTTATCCGCCGGGAGCGAGCAATTTTTCCCTGAGACATCTAGTCGTCGATTGATTCATTTTACTCCGTTTGTGCCTGCCATCTTCTTCCTTGGTCGTATGCTTGAAATCGGCTTCATTGAAGACCCTGAAAATTGTCAGGTAGGCTAATGGTTTAAACAGTTTTGACACGACCAGTTGGGAACGAGATGGAGAGTGAAGCGATTCTGATTAACGTAATAAACTACTGTCCGAACACAGCAGTGGAGCCCGCCTCAATTTGACTGCCAGTGCCTACTCTGTAACGTAGCATTCCCTTTCAAAATTACTTCCAGTTTTCTGTAAGAACGCACGCACTTCCTGATCACGTCACCAGTTTGACTTGTCTTTATTTCCTGGGAGGGAAGAGTAGTTATGGGTTACCTGCTTTGCACTAACGAGACACTGGATTCGAACTCAGCTAGCAAGCGTAAAGCTTTTCTTTTCAAAAACACTAATTCCTCAGAGCATGAAATTTTTCCCTACTCTGCTTTGATGTCACCAGCGAAGATTAGGTAGCAACCTGCGAAGAGTAAAGGGAATATATTGTTCGGATGTATGCATAATATAACGGGTGAGACTTATGACAGAGGCAGCACTTTCACTTAATCTTACCAATAGCTAAGCAACGATCAGCACAAGCTGCAGGCCTTAGAAACATATAAATAAAAGTAACGCTTATAATGGACAACGGGCAAACTAAGGCGGGCCGTAATTGTGGCCATGATCGTAGTCTGTGCACGATTAGCCTCCGGCAGTCGATGAGAGCTGTCACTTCGTGGCGACCTTCATTGATCTATTTCCTTCTATGGCATTCGTTTACAGAACTGCGATCGAAACCGGCGAGTGAGCCGCTGATGGATGGCGTTGATTAACACCACACCACGACGCATGATCTGCTG